TTAATAACCCTCTGCCCACACAGGCAAGTGAGGAGAGAGGGGAATCACTTGCATCTCAGTCCTTAGCGTGTCCATGGCTGAGATAATGCTGTATGATCTTGAACCCCATTTCCTTTACCTCCTGGGGACAATCAAGAGCACGTGTTCTAGATTCCCTTGCAGGTAGCTGTGGACCTGTGACCAACTCTGGTCAGTGAATTATGGATGGAAGTGATAGATTCTCAGGCCAGGCAGGAACATGTTTCTGTGCATCCTGCCCCCTTTCCTCTCTGACCTGCCCTCAGGTGAGGCGGCAGTCTCCAGCACAGGGTTGCAAACCCAAGGAATACTGAAACCACTCACTGTGGGACCGTAGGTCCCTGAGTGAGGAGACTGCCAAACACAGACCCCACCCCACCCTGTAGCTCCTCAGAGTTGTGACAAAAGCAGAGAAGAAACTACAAGCAAGGAGCTGCTTAATGCTGAGGTAGACTGCACAGCCGCTCTGTACCCCTAAGGAAAATGTGGGCGGCACGCTAGAGAAGCCCTGCCTGTCACCTTCCGAGGCCCTGCCTAAGAAGTGAGCGGTGCCTCACAAAGGAGAAAGTGCTAAGACAGTCAAAGCCGCTAACTCCAGGAGGGGAGGGACTCGTTCTCATCAGCAGAGCTCCTGTTGGGAAACTTTAAATGTGCTTACCAGGCAGGTGAAGTACAAGTACTGCTTTCTACTCAAAACAGTTCTCCCCAAAATACCTTCTTTTCGTTTTTCTGTCTTGTTTTACTTTATTATTTTAGCAGACAGCTTGGGTGTTTTCCTATCTGGTGTTGATGTGACAAAGCTCACAGCAGAGCAGAACGAAGACCAAGGAGAGGAGAGGGAGGAGGGTGGAGAGACAGATCCATCCATGAGCACCCATCATTTCCCTAAACCCTCTATACCTCCTACCAGCCCCCCAGCCCATGCTAGGATCTCTAGAATCCTGAGAACAGCCCTCACTCTAGCACACTATGCCTTGGAGAGAGGACCGCGTAGTGTAGTGCTTCCACTTGAGGTGGAACAACCCTGACCCAGGTCTGAGCCCTCCCCGACTGTTCTTCCTGTCTATGATAGGCAAGACCCTATGGATGGCAACAATTACTCTATTTTGTATGGGCCATAGAGTACATTTTCTTCCCTCAGTGTGGCAGCCTGTATGTATTTCTCTGTTGACCTGGTTCAAGTCGCTTCATATAGCCAGTTTTATATAAACCAGCCTAACAAATAACTATTAGCTCTTCAAAGGAAGGAATGTCCCTTTCTGTCTTTTACCTTCACGCTTTGTATCATGTCATTCAATTGTAAGTAACAGTGATCTGGAGACTAGTGGCTTATACGTACAAAGTTTATTTTTTGTGGGAAGTGGTCCTTGCTAGACTGCCTGTGCCATGCTTGTAGCAGCCCCGTAGGCCTCACCACAGTGTTTCCAGTCTCTGCTCTAGGAGTGTCTTCCAAGATAACTGCTGCAGCTCCAAGCATCACTTCCATGTTTGATGCGTCAGAACAGAGAAATTGAAGAGAAGGATGTTTCCATTTTAAAAGGCATGAATTAAAAAGCAAGAAAGCCACACATCATCCTTCTGTTTCATCTCTTTGTCCGAGAACTGGAAATACAGCTACCCCCAGCTGTACAGCAACCAGGAGGAAATCTTTTTGTCACCTGAAAACCAAGTCTACTACTGTAATGATTAAGAAAGTATGACAGCCAACATGATTGGCTTTTATTAAGCATTAAGGCACTAATGGGGCACACCTATGGGTGTGTCTGTAAGGGCTTTTCTAGAGAAAACTAGCCAAGGAAGTAGGGAAGACCCACCTGAATGCGGCACAATCCTTCAGACGGAGGTACCAGATGGAGTGAAAGAGGGAGGAGAAGGGGATAGCCAAGCAAGTGACCCCAGGAGACTCACTTTGTTTTCATCTGTCCCGTTCCCACAGGCCTCTCTGCCTGCAGACCAGATCCCCTAAGCTGTAAGACAGACTCAGCCTTTCCTACCACAAGTTGCCTCTGGCCAGCCTTTAGTCACAGCAAAGGGAAACCCAACTAATTCCCTCACTGGGGAAGAAGCTGTGTGCTCTTGGATGGCCGTGCTTTTGAGGTAGTTGAGTATTGGCCAAAGGACTCTGATGAAGGAAGAGCTTTAAATATTGAACATCCAAGAGAAGATGTTCAGAAGGGCTCTGATGGGAAAAAAGCAAGCTCTCCAAACCATTTACTTGATGCAAAGTGTTTATAAAACCAAAAGCCTTTTTTTTATTCACTTAAAATGTTTATTAGATTATTATACAAAACCATAAGTAAATTTATTAATTTGAAAAATATAGAGAGAAAAGAAAACAAATACCTGCTACAAATCCTGCCCGAGCCCAGGATTAACATTTTAGCTTTTTGTTAGCTTTTAATGAGCAAAAAGAGAGCTGTTTGTATAGATGGGTTGCTTTAGGAAAACTAAAAGCGACATAACACAAAGTCTCGGCTGCCTCTGTCCCTGGCCCAGCACCCACCGCCCCTCACTCACTGCTGGAGACGGGTGTGTGTAGCCCTCAATTTGTTTTTTCATATTCAGCATCTACAAGCTGTCATATTCCCAGCGCAACTTTGTATAATTGCTAGCCCGTCACACACACACGCCTTCCTCACTTTTCACTCACACATCTTGTTGTCAGCCTTGTCACACACACACCCCCCTTTGTTCCCAACGTTTCTTGTTCCTCCCGTGGAGCTGCTCCTCACTTACTAAACAGCTCCCTGTTGTTGAGCAACGAGAGTGTCTGTGCTGGCTCCCATTAGCACATAGATGTGAATGCTTGGTCTTTGAGGAGTGCTCCACTCCCTAGAGACTGGGCGTAGGAGGTGTGGCCTTGTTGGAGGAAGTATGTCTCTAGAGGTGGGCTTTGGGGTTTCAAATGTCCACGACTGGACTGGACCAACATCTCTCTCTCTTCCTGCTTCCTGTAGACCCAGATGTAGAACTCTTAGCTACTATAGATGCTTGCATGTTACTGTGCTCTCTATCATGATGATAATGAGCTAAACCTCTGAATCCTCAAGCAAGTCCCAATTATATGCGTTTTTATATAATATTATATGTTAAATGCCTTTTGTCATCGTCATGGTGTCCCTTCACAGCGATAGAACAGTGACTAAGACAGTAGCTTCTAATCTTTCCTTACTTCAAATAATAAATGGCTCTTTCCAAACACATTTCCAAACATTAACCGAAAAATAAATTGCTAGGAGTGCAGTTTGAGTTTAGATAGGTGCCACCAAATTACATTCTGCATCTATTAAAACAGTTTGCTCTCGACCAGCCTGTGAGTGCCTGATACCACATGGCCAAGTCAAAAGCATATGTTTTCAGACTTCCGGGTTTCTTTCAGTCTGAGTCTTTTAAAATGTATCTTGGTCAGTTGACTCACAAATGCCTATAACTCTAGGGAATCATACACACACCCCACACTGACCTCTGAAAGCATATACACATAAATAAAGTAAAACTTTAAAAGAAAACCTATCTTGGTGTAACTTTAATCTGATTTCCTCTAGTATTGAGCAGGGTTGGCCCACAGCTTTATCTCTCCCTTATCAATGTTCCTGCCCAGTGCTCACCCAGCATGATCATTTAATCACGAGATTTCTCCGTGTACAATGGTCCCACTGATCAGAAAGTATCAAGGAGCTGGGATCTTCCACTGAGCAAACGCTGGCCCTCCCAGACACATGGTGAGGCGTGATATTGATAGCCCATACACTGCTTCACTTCTGAGATATTTTGAGAGACTTGGAATATGGAAAAATAACTTAGGATTCCTGTAAGAAAAGCAAAGACAGGCTAGAGATGAGGCCAGTACAGTGACATATCCGTAACCATGACTACAGTACCTTGTGTTTAACCCCGTGTAGAGCTACACAGAGCTCAAGACAAACTGCCTCTCAGCAGCCCCCTGTTAGAACTTGGCTTTCCTGGAGTGGTATGGCTGAGAAAGGGGGGGTGGGCAACGCCACTTGTGCCTGTGCACTAAACACCCCAGATGCACTGCTAGATGAGTTTGGGTCGGCAGCAATAGCAGTGGGATTGAGAGGAAGGTGGTCCAGTCTGTGGAAAAAGAAGAGGCAGGAAGGACTCTCCAGCAAGAAATCAGGAAAGAGGTCAGTAAGACAGCTACCTCCAGACAGAACTAAATATGGGCCTGCAGGGATATTTCAGTCACAGGAACGAAAGTGCTCAGCCCATCCATCAAAGGAGAGGAGTTGTAATTTAGCATCACCCTTATTCTACAGAGATGGCTCTGTGCTCTGCGACCCAGTTCCCACTCCAGCCAGGGTCAGATTCCTTCTGTCATCTCGGCCTCTTTTTCTGACATAGTCATACATGGAGTTGAGCTCTGTGGAGCAAGGAGGGAGGAGCTTGGATGTTGACAGCCATTGTAAAAAAACACTCACATTCCTAGTGGAGGGGATGAGTCTAAGAATGTTTAGAGACCATCTTCTTGTTTATGTCACATGACAAGACTTTGTTTCCTCTCATCCTTCCTACAAAGAATTGTCACTTTAAATCTAGATCGAGCATTTGGTCCTGCTGTGACTGCGCCTCTGCTGAGGGACATGTTGTTGTAGAATAGAGAAGCAGGGCATTTCTAGATCACTGCATGAGTGTGAGTCAGAAACCATGTGGTGTTAAATTAAAAAAAAAAAAAAAACAAAGGATACAAAGTTAGAGAAGTAGGAAGATGGCAGATCTGGAAGAAGTTAAGGGGAGAAGGTGGGTAAATATGATCAAAATGCATTGTTTAAAATTCTCAAAGAATTAATAAAAATATTTTTTAAAGTCTCAAGGTTGTTTTATAGCCTTGCACACACAAAAGCATAGCCATTGCTCAGTATCTGACTAAATTTGCTTTACTTCCTTTGATGTTGATAAAACTGACTGTAGACACAGCAAAACAAGGGATTTCCCTCACAGCACAGTGTCTGTCTTTCCAGGCGTCCTATAAGCCACTGTTGAAGCAGATTGTGGAGGAAATATTTAATCCTGAGAAGCCAGATCCCATTGATGTTGAACATATGTCCTCAGGCCTCACTGATCTCCTTAAAACTGGATTCAGCATGTTCATGAAGGTAAGGACCCATGAAGGGGTCATCCTGAATGTCACCTGTTCCCTCTGCTGAGCATGGAAATGCTGGCACACCGTTAGCCCCGCCCAGGGCCAGGGAGACAATGTCTACAATCAAGGGGCTCTGCGCTGACCGCTGGTGCTGTGCAGCCTGGGCTCACAGCCTCCTGCAGCCTCTTTGGACCTGAGTCTGGGTCTTTCCCCAGCAACACCTACACCCTAAGTGGGGGTGACAGGCATCCTAAAGAGCACCGCTGGAAAGCGTTTACACACGTGAGCCGTTTGTTACCAATGTGAGTGTGCACACTACTGTTTTCTGGGCTTAGGGGAGGCCCTTACTCTTAATTCTAGATCTTACTCTGTAGGATAATGAGCAGCTCTGCATACTCCTAGTATCACTCCCAAGACTCCTTTAGAGTTGCTTTTTGCCATGGTCCAGAAGACTCCTTAAATTCCTCTGGCTCATGTCTGCCATAGGTCAGAATGACTGAGTAACCCTTGAAATAGGGATGAAAGGAGGGTGAAAAGTACACAAATGTGATCTATTTTTAAGCCGCTGTAAAGTTTCTAAATTTAAAAGTATCTAAACAAGATTGCAGACTGACCTCCCAGGCTATGCCCGTATTTTAGCAGTAATAACTCTTGGAAATAACAGAATGTTTCGCCAGCTTCAAAGAGTCTTTGAAATCATGAATTAATCTGCATAAAAGATCCAGCCTTTCGGAGTTCAATAAAAGCATATTCCAGGAAAACAGGCCCATTCCAAAACCCAGAGAGGACAGGCGCCAGGCTTCAGACTGGAGACCAAGCAGTAAATTGGCTGGAGCAACTTTCTACCCTTTGTTTTGCTGTTCCCCAGTACCAGCAGCTTCTAAACTAATCCCTGGCTGCTTGGTTTCTTTCTCTTCCCTTTCTTTCTTTATTTCTTAATAAAGCAATGCAGTTCAGCTTCTTAAACTGTCCAGGGCTCCTTTGCTGAGACTAAGCCCAGAGTTGCTGGGCCAACTGTTTGACCCTCTGTCTTGAGTAGCTCTTCCTGGTGGCCATTTGCTAAAAAAGCAAGAAAGCAAGGAAGGAAAGAAGGAAGGAAGGAAGGAAAGAAAGAAAGAAAGAAAGAAAGAAAGAAAGAAAGAAAGAAAGAAAGAAAGAAAGAAAGAAAAGAAAAGAAAGAAAGAGTCCTTTCTCTGCACTCAGAGATATTTCCTGCTGACTTGGGCTGACCCAGAGGCAGTCTGCCAATGATGTATAAGATGAGACTAGATTGGAGACATGATGAGAAAATAAATGCACAGAGAGGCAGGGCCACAGTCACACCATAGGAAGGAAGGAAGGAAGGAAGGAAGGAAGGAAGGAAGGAAGGAAGGAAGGAAGGAAGGAAGGAAGGAAGGAAGGAAGGAAGGGAAGGAAGGAAAGAAGGAAGGAAAAGAAGAGAATTTAAAACAGCAAGAACTTCTGGGATAGACGCGTTGTCTAACCCTCTGCACTGAAGGACCTCCGCACAAGCTGGGACATCCAGTGGCAGCCATGGACTGTACTAGGATGTTAGTTGCCAGTTGGCTCCCAAGGTGCATTTTCTGTCAGTGTGCCGTGACTCAAGAGCTGTCATATTTGAATGTTACCCCTGTGAGTGCTATAGAGTATTTTCTCTCTCTCTTCCTGCACCCAGCCATTCCTCCTCCTATGTGGTCTTGCCATGAGAGCTTGAGACTCTAATGGGTCAGCATGGGAAGTGGGATATTCAGCCCCATCATTGGAACTCCTTTTCAGCAGCCAGCTGACCTTAGAGGGAGTAGATTTAAGGGGAGAATTTGTGTTCTCCCAGCTGCTATAACATCTCAAAAGCTAGTTTGAGAAGTAGGCAAAAGTAGACAGAAGGACCTCCATTCTACCCCAATGCCTGCCAAGAAGGAAGGAGGTGGAGTACAGATTGACTCACAGGTGGTGCGAACAGTGTCCAGGCCTCCCACCCACAGTTGTTATGACCATCCTGTGGGCCAGTTAGCCAGCATGTTTTCCATCCACCCTCCTGTCCATCCTCGTGGCATGAGGTCCTTAGGAGGCAGGTCCTATCCTTATCCTCATTTTGCCCAGTGAGGAAACTGAGGCCTCACGTGGCTAAGCAGTAAATGCAAATTTCCAGAAAGCCTGGAATTTTGTCTCATTCTCCTATTCTCATGTGATTCCCAAAGAGCGTACTGTAAATGACAGCTCCAGGATGTTTCCCGTGGTCATCCCCACTCCAGAGCACTTGCCTGTCCACAGCATTCCCTGGCCCACAGTCTGCCAGGCGTGTCCTTGGAAGGTAAACATTCTGTGTTGTTAATTCTGCTATTCTGCAGGATTCCTCAGCTGCCTTCCCTTTCCTGAGTCGGTGCAGCTCGTGAAGGTCTCTGCCTGGCGTGGTCACAGCACCACTGACATGAGCGAGACCATGCAGGGCGCAAGGACACCTGCCATTCCTCAGACTACTCTTCTGGGCCATGGGCCCTGGTCTCATGGGAAGAAGGAATCCATGCATTGCAGATGTGTCACTCCTGAACATTACATCTTCATCTGAATCCTCAGGGGCACTTGCTGCCCCGGCCTCTGGCCACTCACTGCCCTGAGCTCCGGAATCTGTTCCCTAATTTCTCACTCAAGACTTGTTAGTACTGACCCAGAAAGAAACAAAAGGCAGAACTAGATGAAATAAAGTCATGCACGGGAATTCTTCCCACGCATGACGACCGTTGTACAAATGGGAGCATTCTCAATTTTTAACTTGAGTTGGAAGGGAGATGCTGCTGTGCCTCTGGTGAGTCCTTTCTCTGCACTCAGAGATATTTCCTGCTGACTTGGGCTGACCCAGAGGCAGTCTGCCAATGATGTATAAGATGAGACTAGATTGGAGACATGACGAGAAAATAAATGCACAGAGAGGCAGGGCCACAGTCACACCATAGGAAGCATGGCGTGAGCCGCAGAGCGTGTAGCAGAAAGAGTGCAGAAAAGAGTGGCGCTGGCCCTGTGTGCCACTCTGGCTGTATTTATAAATTGTTTTTATAGTTATATATCTCACTTGTCTTCCTCCAAGCAGCTGTCTTTTAGAGTAGTGTTTTTCCAAATACACAGCATACCCCATTACACATCGGTAGGTCAAGACAGTTCAAATGACTGTGATAAGCACTGCATAGGAGGACAGACTAGGCCAGAGCTCATTACATCTAGGTAGGCAAAAGAGCACAGCCCCGTCTCACATATCTACACATGCATGCCTTTTTAGTACAGATCTGACAGAAAAGACTGTGGAAGCTATAGGTAGAGCCTGCAGTACTGAGCTAGGTTTTTATCTTCTGGATCCTTAGCACTTGTCACTCCATTTACAGCAGGCGCTGGGGGAGTGGGTTAGAGAACACAGGTTGCAAAACTCACTCAGCATAACTTGACACCATTGTTTTCTCCTTCCAATTACCCTAGTCCCACTGAGTGCAGGGAACACCTTCCAAGACTCCCAGTGAAGACAGGAAACCATAGCTACACACCCTGTGGATGCTGATGTTTTTACTGTAGACACACAAATGGGATGCCTTTTTTTTTTTCACTGAGCAGATGGCATGTGTTCTGGTCATAGTGTGAACTTTGCAAGTGTGACAGTGAGCCTAACCCTGGTTTCTTTTCCCTTCTTCACACTTCTGATGGTTGAAGACTTGTTCTTAACTTGCATCTCAGCAGCCTCCACAGACAATTATATAGTTCCTCATCAAGGCAAGAACTTTCATCTTCCCACTTAAGGGAAGCACTTTACAGCTTTTCTTTGACTTATCAGATTTGCCAGCACCCTGCTTTCAGGACATAATTTGCACTTTGGGGGCATAATCAGGTAAATTAGGGGTGCTGGAACACAATGTTTTGATGCTGCCACAGTTGGCTGATAACCCAGGTGGCCTCTCAGTGACAGTCTGGGGACTGTGGACAAAGGGATGTTCCGTTTCCATGTGGGAGAGATAAGGGCAAGAGCTCATCATGCTTCTCAGAACCGTTTGCAACTTAAAACTTCAGAGACTGGTTTCTAGAAGTTTCTTTTCATACTGGAAATGACTGAAACTGTAGAGCACACCACCTCAGATAAGGAGGAACTTCTGTCTGGCCCATAAGCCTGAAGCTTCATTCAAAAATTTCACAAGGGAGCCATGCTATGCGTCAACTCCAGCAGGCCTCATCAGCTGCCCTTATCCTTCTGGACAACAGCTGCTGAGCACGGCAACCCCAGCCATGCACCCATGTCACAGAGATGGAAGTCCACCTCCACTCTGTCTCCTCTCCACACCACAGGCTTGAGTTTCCCCTGGTGCCTTTACTCCCTGGAGAATTGAACATAAGCGAAGGGGCTGCTGGTGTTATAGAACGGAAAAGTCAGCATGTCAGGAGAAGAAATCTCCAACGGAGTGGTGGACAGGGCAAGCTGATGCTGGGGAGGCTGGGGATCTCTTCTCCACTTTGCATTTATTCTGTAGTTTGGTTCATTGAATAATAGGTAGCTCTCCTGTCTGTATTTCTCGCCCCAACCCCATCTAGTACATGCTCTGTGAGCTTCCATCCAGGGTCTGCTGGCGATGGAGGCAGTGGAGACCAGAGCCACGCCTGCAGCCAGACTGTGGGAGAACCACTCAGCCCCTCCGTGCCTCTGTCTTCTCATCTGTAAAGTGGGGTGGAGCTGTTGTGAGATGCACAGGGGCATGCTCAGCACCCCGCACCAGGACTGTGCGTAGTCGGTGTTTCTTCCTGTGATGCCGTGGTCCCTGCCAGACTGCAGCCAGTAGGAAAGAACCACACTGAGCATGTTTATACCCTATACATAGCCAGGCCTGGGTGTACACACAGGGAAAGCTGGAAGATTTGGAGTTTGAGGCTGGCCTGGCCTACTAGCAAGAGTCTATCTTTGAGAAAGAAGAGGAAGGAAGCAGTCAGGTATGGTGGTACATGCTTGTAATCTAGCATTCAGAGGATAAGATGGAAGGATTGTGA